AATTGTATTGTAAAACTCCGCGAAATAGCTGAGTCAAAAATTGAGACAATTCAACTCATGATATACGAAATGAACCCCCTTACACAAAGTGCGTCTAAAATATTCAAAACTAAAAATTCGATATTTTTGACGTTTGACCTCGTTTACAACAGTCACCAGGCTGACGTAAGCCGAAATGATAGTGGTTTCTGAACTCCCCGCCTCAAACTAAACACGACTGCAACGTTCCAAATAAAAAATCAACATTTTTGACCTTTGACCTGGTCTACGTAGTCACGGGGTCTTTGTACCTTAAAACTGTGTCGATTTCTGAAATCACCCAAACCCAAATCTAGAACAGTCAACACTTAAATTTTGACCTTTGACCTCGTCCTCCCGGTCATGGGTTGGTCGAAGGTCAAAAGTATTGACGATGATGACTTCTTGGTGAAATTTCCTTTAAAATGACAAAGCATATGAAAATTAAGGTAGAATTTTGCGTTTATGTCACGCCAAGGTGACCTTGACCTTGACCACGGGGAGCCCATTTTCGAAATCGACCTAGGGTTAAAAATTAGAAGCGAGATAGCGAAAACGGCGTTAGATTATATTGAGGCGTTCAAGAGATATCGTACTTGCCAACCCTTGATTTTTCCACAGTAGTACAAACTGAGCCCGTGTTTCAATTTGTCTACTGTAGACTGTAGAATTAGTACAAAAAGCTAATGACGTCATCATCTAGAGTCCACAGTACAGTCTACAGTCGAAGTACAAGGAATCTCTAACTCTCTATTAAGCAAGCTGAATATTGCAAATTTGTATATGTATATAAAAATGCTCAATTATGTAAATTCATGCGAGTTTCTAAAAATTGTGTGAAATTTTTCTAGACGTATGACGTATAACAGAATTGCAAATTAATAAAATTACTTAAATGAGATTCGTACAAATTCGATGATAATTTTTACAAACATATAAAACAAAACCTGAATACTGCAAATTTCCCATTAAAATAAAATTGTACAAATTTGGCGACAATTTTTCAAGGTTTGACATGCATATTAGTGAATTAGTTTAAGATGTTGTGAATTTTCATCGCTAATTCGAGTAATTTTCGAGACATTTTAAAGAAGAGCAAATTTTTATTTTTAAATATAATTTCGAAAATTTTTGCAATTTTTTGTAGCGCATTAAACAATTCATGAAAAAACTGGATCTTGCAAATTTATATTTTTAAATATAATTTGTGTGCGATTTTGACGCCAATTTTTGTACTTTTTACAAAATATGTTCCTTAGTTAGTTTAAGATGTTATGAATGTAAGTGCAAATTCGAATAATATTCGAGATACAAATTAACAAAAGCTGAATGTTACAAATTTATAAAAATTTATGCAAAATTTTGTACAAATTCGATAAGAATTTTTGAAATTTTTGCAACATACTACGCAAACCATGAAAAAAGTTGAATCTTGCAAATTTATAAATTCAGATAGTACAAATTTTCAAACGACATTTTTTTTGTGTTACATATATGTAACACAAAAAAATGTCGTTATAAAAATGTCGTTATAAAAATATTATGGATTTTCATGCCAAATTCGAGTAACTTTCGAGACATGTTATAAACGGATTTAAAATATTGAGCATTTTCATGCCATTGAAAATCCTACTTATGTTCCTTTTGAAGGGATTAAAGTATCAGACCACTTGACACACTACATTGTATTGTTAACTCCCTTGTGTTGCATATTATTCGCGAAAAGGGGAAAATTTGTCGAGTAGTTTGGCATTGAGGTTGGGAGGCAGGCAGGTGAAGTGGAGAGAATGGCATGGCATACTTGATAATTCGCCCATATGCACTCGACCACAAGGCAGACAGACCGTGTATGTATTTCTGAATGAAATGAGATCATCATCGTATGTATTGGTTGGTGGTGGCACAGTGTGTCCAATTAAATAAACATGCGACAAAATTCTGTTTTTGTTTGTTTTGAGTGCCACTGTATCCCAGGAATGTTATCCAGAAAAAAAAACTTGAAAAAAATGTAAGGGGGTGTGTCTGTAGGGGGGTTGAGGGTGAGGTCGCCGAAATTTTTTTCATGGAATTTCAAAATTCCAACGATTGGTGATTGTTAGGGAGGCCCTTCTGATAATCAGACAAAATTTTTGGACCTCTGACCCTCATTGTTCCAAAGATATTCAAAGAAAACCGAAAAAAGTTGTAAAAAATCGTCGGATTTGCCATGTTTGGAGACTTATTTCTGAAAACGCTCGCATTTCGCGCAGGATTTCTCATCATATCTTTGCAGTGCCCACATAAAACTTGCATAATTCGTCAAAAAGTTCTGCGCAAACATTAAGCGTTTTTCGAAAATCACCCTCAAAAATGAAGAAATGGACGAAGCTAAAGTCTCACGTAGCCCCATGTATGGGGTACCGTTGGAAAGGTGACGGCGTGTAGATTCATAATATATATACTTTGTGGGGTCTAGGGCCACTCCCCGAGAAGTTAGAGATGAAAGGCGGTTTTGAGTTTTCAGTCTCCAAGTTGCCAGAATTTAACACGGCGTTATATTACGAGTTTACGTGGCAGTGCAAATGACCCAACTGCACAGATTCTCACGAGTTGGAAAGTGAAAACTCAAAACCGTCTTTCATCTCTAACTTCTCGGGGAGTGGCCCTAGACCCCACAAAGTATATATATTATGAATCTACACGCCGTCACCTTTCCAACGGTACCCCATACATGGGGCTACGTGAGACTTTAGCTTCGTCCATTTCTTCATTTTTGAGGGTGATTTTCAAAAAACGCTTGATATTTGCGCAGAACTTTTTAACGAATTATGCAAGTTTTATGTGGGCACTGCAAAGATATGATGAGAAATCCTGCGCGAAATGCGAGCGTTTTCAGAAATAAGTCTCCAAACATGGCAAATCCGACGATTTTTTACAACTTTTTTCGGTTTTCTTTGAATATCTTTGGAACAATGAGGGTCAGAGGTCCAAAAATTTTGTCTGATTATCAGAAGGGCCTCCCTAACAATCACCAATCGTTGGAATTTTGAAATTCCATGAAAAAAATTTCGGCGACCTCACCCTCAACCCCCCTACAGACACACCCCCTTACATTTTTTTCAAGTTTTTTTTTCTGGATAACATTCCTGGGATACAGTGGCACTCAAAACAAACAAAAACAGAATTTTGTCGCATGTTTATTTAATTAGACACACTGTGGGTGGGTGAGGAGGAGAGGTTGTCAGGGTGGCAATGTCAGATTTTGATGTCATTTTTGGTGATTTGTTGGAGTAAACGATGAATTGTATTGGGCGATTAGATTTGACCGGATTTGCGGATCGGAGCTCTAAACGACCGGATAATCCGGCCGGATCGGATTATACGGGGTTATCAAAACCACCAAGAATGTACCAAGAGACCCAACTGGTTTTACGCAATGGTTGCAATTACACCCATAAACACGATACAATCCCATATTTCCTTTTAAAGCATCACAAAAAAACAAATTTAGTCTGATTTTGAAAATTTTTGTATTTTCATCATCGCAGTTAGCTACTTTTAGATACAAAGTGAAACTCAAGTTTTTTGAAGTATTAATTTTTTTAATACCTCTGAATAGTTATGAGATTTTTCTTACTTAAAAAATGACTTTCAATTGTCGGATATGATAAAATAACTCGAGAAAATTTGGAAATGATCAAAATAGGATTTGTGTGTATCCAAATCCAAAATGCATAAAAATCTGACGCTGCCACCCTCACAACCACTCCTCCTCCTCCTCATACATGAAAACGTATCCTCTTTAACGTGATACATTTTCCTCTAGAAAAAAAATACCTACATACGTCCAATTCATCCTCTTTCCTCGTTCCCAACCGTTATAAATACGAGACAACTAATAATTTTTCTCCTCCTTTTCATCGTCCTGCTGCTAGTTCGTCCATCCATCCAGCTCGGCCCGCACCTCGTAATCGATCGTGTCCGCTCCCTCCCCTGCGCGGATCCGACTTTTCTACCACCACTTTCTCTCCCCGGTCCCGGCCCGATTTTCACCACCACCACCACACTGTTACCCGGGCAGGAGAAAGTATGTATACATAAGCAGAAAAGCCGCACACTATGTATCATGACCCACAATAAATAAACGGGCACATGGTCCTCCCCACAGATAAAAAAGTAGTGTACACCATCCTTTTTCGCGAGACCACGGGACACACCAATTAATAGAAACAAATATGTAGGCCATGCATGGGGAACAAAAGCATGCTGAAATTTGCAAATTGTTCCTGGGATGCATGTGGTTTTGGGTAGCTTTGGCAAAATTACAGGGAAACACACGCACCGTACAAAAGTACATAAAATAATCGCGTGGAGGAACGCACACCTGGTCGTGCATATTAGCGTCTCGCATCGTATAGGTTTATATTTTATATGCATATTATGCGCATGCAGTGACCGCGGAAACTGTGGGGACATCGGGGGCATTAAAATTGTAGAATAAGGGAGGCCGGATTTTACATAACATGGGGAGATGATGGCGACACCAAATAACGTGGGGACATTGCCCCTCTGTCCGGACCCTTCCGCGGCCACTGTGTATACATACATAATTTCCTCGGACTTAAGGTGCACATGCATGTACAGTGGCTGCGGAAGCCGTGGAGACATCTGGGGGACCTTAATACTCAAGAATGTGGGAAAGGAGAGGTTTATATAACAGTAACAGATAATGCTTACATCGAATATCAGTGTCCCTCTGTCCCCCACCCTTCCGCGGCCACTGTACATGCCTCGAATTACTTACTGGACCCAATACATACGTACTGGCTGGTTTGGCAGATTGCTTTCGATCTACAACTCTCCATTCGCGTTCGCCACTGGGGAAAGTACATAAGCATCGGAGGAAATTCTATATGCACGTACATATATGGGAGGAAGTATGCATTATATTTTGGATGGGGCGAGAGGAGTGGAAAGTGGATGGGGAAAGCAGGCAGGCAAGCAGAGAAAGCTGGACTGGAACAGAAACCCGAATCCTTTCAGGGTTTGGTTTGCTTTGCCGTGAAAGGAAAGTAGAGAAAACGAAACCATACGTATGTTTCGCTCAAAATATAATAAACTAAAAGTATAAAGGAGACTAATCAAACACTTACAGACGGTAATAAATAAAGGGAGAAAGTTGTTAATTAGTTATTGTGATAATAAGAAAGTGAAAATCAAACTTTATTGCTCGATTTTAGAGAATACATAAAAGTGCAGACAGACAGACAGACGTAAACTTAAACGTTTTGGCAAGATAAAAAATTCGTAATAAAAATTCGAACGGATTTTTAACCAGGACAGAAATTTCGGAAATATTCTGCTAAATTTATAACCAGCAAAATATAATAAATTTCTTTAAATATTATACAACGATTTATAAAAAAAACTTATAATCCAAATTTCGAACTGATTTTTAGCCAGGAAAAATACAACAAATTTCGGAAATATTTAACTGGAAACAAATCTAATAAATTCGTAAATATTATTGCAATCTCGATTGACAAATTATACACACACGGAAAACACTTGCTCATACATAAACAGCGAGTGGTGACCGTGACGTGGTTGGTAGATTGTGGTTTTCTCGTCACTTTGGCAATCTATCTAACCAAGCCACGACATGTACAAACGTATGTAAAGAGAGACGGACGGATAGATAGCTGGATGGTCGTCGCAGTGGTCGTGGTGGTGTTATAAATAAGTAGCAGCTTTCCGTTAAGTGGGGTAAATCAGAATTGTTCCATCTGGTCCAGAATTTTGCCAGCTTAGCCAAGCCACACACAGAGATACGTACGTACGTCGTCACCATATCATCGTCAACGAAGGATCAGTCAGGATTTGATTGTCACAAGTAAAACAGAAAATTTCCCATTTTTCGAAAGGAATAAAAGAGTTCGACAAAAGATAAAGTTTGGAACTGGAGTAAAACCAAGACAAAAAAATATCAATTTTTTCCATAGAATAAAAGAGAGTTCGTAAAGTTTGGAACTGGAGTAAAATATATAAAAAATTGACATTTTGCCTACAAAATAAGAGTTTGATAACGAAGTAAAGTACGTTTGGAACTGGAGTAAAATTGTAAAAATTACCGTTCTTTTTTTCGACAAAATAAAAAAGTTCCAACAAAAAACGAGGCAAAGTTTGGAACTGGGTGAATTTGCAGTGAAAAAAGTGAAGTGATCGGTATACACTCATAAATTACTTGACGACGAGGAGGAAGGAGGAGGGCTAGTCTCGAGAGGTAAAGTGTATTTATTTTTGTACGCTTTTTTTTGTAAGTAGGTTTTGTTTAGTTTGAAGTGGTCAAGTTTGAGTATTTTTTTCATGGTCAAATTGAGGTGGACATTAATTGAGTTGAGGTAGAGTTACTTACGTACGTGGGTAGTATTTCTTTGAGGAAAGTTTTGCAATACGGAGACGAAAAGCACGATGTACGTAATGCAGACACGAAATGAGTAGTGGAGAAATTATTGGGGCAGCGTTTCATGACATTTTTAGTATTTGGGTGGAAGTTTAAATTGGCGAATGAGGAAACGTGTGCGAATTACGTGAATTGCAAAAGCTGCACGTATTGGGACTAAAGTGGTGCAAAAATTGTTTCGTCAGATGTATTTACGCATATATTTGGGTTGAAGTTTTTTGTAAAATTGAGTTTGAAGCTTTGCAAATTATGTACGCAAATTGCACAAGCTGCACATTTTACAAGAAAAAAGGTACAAACAATTTTCGCCAGATTAGATGAAGTTTTTTGTAAAATTGAGTTAATTTGGATATTGGCGAAATTTTGCGAATTACGTGAATCGTAAAAGGTGCACATTGTGCGACAAAAAATTGTAACCAAATTGTTTTAGTATTCAGTATTGTGTTTAGTTTTTTAAAAAATTGAGTTTGAATTTATAATTGACGAAACTTACGTGAATCGCGAAAGCATGCAAACCGCAAATTCTTATTAAAAAATGGCACGTTTCTCTCCATTTTGTTTTCATTTGGCCCACCTGCCAGTAAATTTTGCACACGGTTGACACACGTGAAATGCAGTCCATAATGTATGCATATTCTCACCCTGATGCAACTAGTCTCTTGCAAAAAAATGGTATTTGCGTGGATGGGAAAGTAGTTTGATTGTTTTTGCAAGTTTTCTCTTCTTGTAAATAGACTTTCATACGTAGTTCTTCTCCTGCGGGTGGCAGGTGTTGTATGCTCGTTACCGTTTTTTATTACCGTTATACGTATGAAATTGAAACCATTTCTTTCGCACGCAAAAACGGCGTGGCGAATAAATCGTGTGCCTCCCACGGACTGAATGGCACCTGGAAATGAATTGGTGGCCGTATTTATGAAATGCAGTGGCGGCGGAAGTTGGGGGGGGGGACATTAGCATTGTGGGATTGGAGGAGTAGTGACGTGACTTATTAATCATACCTGTTCAAAAATTTAGTTTTCATTCAAAATTCATTCATCCCGATTTCGGAGTGAAGATTTTCATTTACATATAGTAATTTTAGTTCAAATTCATTTCATTTCACTACACTTCATCGGACTTCATGTCTGACTTGTATTAAGCCTAGGGTGAAAAATCAAAAGAGTGAAAAATCCTGTTATTCAAAGTCATTCATTTGAAATGACGGGATCCTTCAGTCATTTTTCATTAAAATGGAGGAAATTCATTTTCATTTAGTATCATAATCTGTCACATGAATGAAGGTGAACAGGTATGTTATTAACATAGGGAATTTTACTGACATTGTGGTGGCCAATGTCCCCCTGCTTCCGCCGCCACTGAGAAATGAGTAGCAAATTTATGCCGATGCTTTCACCTCCGTTTTCTTAACTTCTTGATCTTACACTGAAGCCAACTTACGATTAATTAAATAATTTCTTGGATAGATAAGAAGTTCATTATTGTGTGAAGTTTATGTATTTCTTGTTTATTCAACGTCGCTCATTCTACTGGACGTTTCCCGTCATCGAAACTAGACAGATTTATAATTGCTTTTCAATCACTCAAAAACTGAATGGATTCCATAAGCTTGTCACATTTTGGATCAACATGACAATCTGGACGAGAGACTCGTCTTTCGTATATTTTATATATTAAATTTGTTTAAACGATGGTCTATGTAGCGCTACATGAAAAAATTGGAACAAGGTTCTCCTAGATTTCGAAAATCCAGTGCTTACATGGACGATTACATTATTTTCGTTGAAATTCCAGTATAAATTCCCTGCCATTGTTTGGATTTGTTCGTTTTGTCGAGATAATTTGCATTCCAGTTATGCAATGATTCCATCTTGTTGTGCAACTTTCACTTGGAAATGGCAATTTTCAGGGTGATGTCGCCATGCCAAGTTTGTTACGGTTTGATGGGTGCTAAGGTCATCCATTTTTGACAGGACAAGTAAAATTTGTTAAAATCCGACACGAATTTTGTTCGGCTAACCTTTTTTTAAATGACGAAGGTCAAGCCTGGGGCGGAAAAGTGTCGAATTTTAAGATACAACATTTTATCCATACCTGTTCACTTTCATTCATGTGACTGGTTATGATAGAGAATGATGGTGAATGAAAATGAATTTCTTGTGATTTGAATGAAAATGAGTGAAGGATTCAGTCATTTCAAGTGAATGATTGTGAATGAAAGGATTTTTCACTCATTTCATTTTTCACTCTATGCGTAATACATGGGGCGAAGTAAGAAATGAAGTAGGATGAAGTTAAATGAAATGAGCTTGAAACAAAATGACTGACAATGCACATGTCAGACATGTTTCGCACGGATCTTCATGATACTAGCACTAAAATCTCAAAGAACTAAACACAAACAATAGTTAGTATGAAATTTGAGCACTTCTGCAGAATTCAAAAAGTTATGAAGGTTTTAAGTTTGCGAAAACGCGTATTTTCACCATGCGAAACTATACAGAGTTCACCTCTCTGCTGTCCGATTTTCTCCTGCGCTTCTCTTCACTAGGTCATAGGTTTGCACTCAAAATTTGATTAATTAATTTCCTAACCAAGTTCTCATCCGATTTTTTATATTTGGCTTTTACATAATTTGTTAACACTTATTAATGTTTAAAATGGATTCAACTAACTTCTTATAAGTGGAAATTATTTTTCAAAATTGGTTCAGTCAGAATAATGGATTTTTATTTCTTTCGCGTTGAGGGTCTTTAAAGATTTAAAGACAAGAGTCAAGACAAGACAAGATTTAAAGAGATATAAAGACAAAAATCTTATGACTTTGTGTGATGCTGGCCCTTATCACACAGGGAACTTGGTATGTTTGGTTTTTTATTGTCAAATAAGTTTACAAATATAAATACGCAATGTGAAAGAAATTTAAATGAAAATCGATCCTATTCTGAACAAATCCTTAAAAAATTCCACTGATAACAACTTAATTTTTATTTTAAATATTCAAAAGTGTTAAAAAATTATGTAAAAGCCAAATATAAAAAATCGGATGAGAACTTGGTTAGGAAATTAATTAATTAAATTTTGAGTGAAAACGTATGACCTAGTGAAGAGAAGCGCAGGAGAAAATGGGACAGCGGAGAGGTGAACTCTGTATAGTTTCGCATGGTGAAAATGCGCATTTTCGCAAAATTAAAACCTTCATAACTTTTTGAATTCTGCAGAAGTGCTTGAGTTTCATACTAACTATTGTTTGTGTTTAGTTCCTTGAGATTTTAGTGCTGGTTTCAAAAAGATCCGTGCGAAACATGTCTGACATGTGCATTGTGAGTGTGAATGAAAATCTTCACTCTGGAATCAGGATGATTGAACTTTGAATGGAAAAAGTTTTTCTGAACAGGAATGATTTTATCAGCAAGTATGCAAATTAAACTTTGTCACTTAGTTAGTAAAAATATTCAAAATTGAGGTATCTCGACTATTTTCGTAAATTTAGTTCAATTCCGAAGTTTTGAGATAAACTTGTCACATTTTGCGCATCAACTTCAATATCGACGTATTAACTTGGAGAGGTCTGCTGTTGTTTTCCACGTATAAAGCCGGCTTTTCTGCGTTTTAATTACTAATTTCGCCAACCCGACTCTTGTTTGAAATTGGGTCAGCTCTGTTTGTTTATTATGATGGGATCGTATTTATGTCATCTCGCGTTACGTCTGAAATCCTTTCATCCGTGAATGAAGTAAATAAATAGCATCCAGTTTCCAGCACATCTTTGGTTTCTCCCACGAGCAAACACACACATGAAACAAAATCACATAACAAACATGCTTATATACTTTCTGAACTACACTCTAAATAAAAGTTGTGCCGAATTTTTCCAAAGTTGAGTTAAAAAGCATACCTGTTCAAATTTTTTTTTCTTCATTCAAAATTCGATCATCACGATTTCTGATAGATGATTTTCATTCGCATTCAGAGATTTTGTTTCTAATTCATTTCGTTTCACTTCACTTCATCTGACTTCATATCTTACTTCGTTCCATGTATTAGTATTAAACATAGCGTGAAAAATGGAAGGAGTGAAGAATCCTTTCATTCACAGTTATTCATCTGAAATCAAGGAATACTTTAGTCATTTTTATTCAAATGACGGGAATTTACTTTTATTTAATGACAAGGAATTAATTTTTATTCGCTATCATAATCAGTCAAATGAATGAAGGTGAACAGGTATGTACAAAACAGGATTATACAACAATACGGTAAAATTTGCCCAATTCTTGTGTCGTCCTAACCTTGGATAAATTTAGCACAACTTTTATTTAGAGTGTGTACATAATGCAGCAGTATTTGTTTTCCCATCAGCCTGGATCATGAAATGGCAGGTTGGATCATGAAATGTGAGGCTTATTATTAGCTTCAAACTTTAAATTGCGAGTTTTCTGGACGGAGGATGAAAACAATTGCAATTTGGGATTAGGATTGATTACAAGGCGTTCTTTCACTCTCACAATTTCTGGAAAGTAAATACTCTACACCTACTCAAAATCTCAGGGCTAATTTCGTGGAAAGGATTAAATTATGTACAGGTGGACGGGTAGGAAGGAAGGAAAGCGGAAAAATACCACCCTTTTTTTGTGAAGAAAGTAAATTTAGAAAAAAAATGTGGGCAGAAACCATGCCCCGTTTCCTTTGTGCATTTTCATTAATTTAATAAGGATGTGTGCATATCATGCCCATTATAATCAGAGGGTGGATATGTATTCACAAAAAAATCGCTGAAATACGCATTTAATATTTAGAAATAAAAAATTCCAAAATCT